CCTCCCCTTCCTGGGATTGAAGACAGCATTTTTCGCCATCTGCATCCCTCCAAAGCTATCTTAAATTATTCTCTCATCTGCTTCCAATTTCTCCTTGCTTGTTTGGTCATCCTGCACTCTGGATCTTACAGAGTCCTTTCCTATCTTTTTCTTGAAGGAGAGAAATTCTGTGTTCACTAAGCCAGGCCAAGCCAAATTTCTCAAGCAGCAATTAACTATTATGTGACTTTCTGGCTCTCTTTCCAGCTACAGATGCATGAAATTTGGAAAACTGTCCCGAAAGAAGAAAACAAATTATTTTATTTATCCTGGTGCCCTTCATTTCTTTCTCTTTTCTTTAAAGAAAACATTAAAAAACAGCATTTTTAAAAAACCTGCATCGTGTTTCAAACATAATTGAATCACTGGAAATGTATTTTATACACAGTGTTGCAATTTCCATTTTGTGTTTACAGACAGATTGTCAAGACCATCAACAAATAACCTTATTATTGATTTTTCTAGAACTTAAAAAGCTATGATGAAGGGCCACATGATGACATTTTTTTCTCTAGCAAACACAATAAAATGGTTAAAAGTATCATTAAATTTGTTACAGTAGTCATTTCCCCACTAGATCTCAGTTGGTCAATTTATCAATCATTATCAGTGCCCAGATTCTGTTTCTCTCTCAAAGTTAAATCTATTACATTTCCCCAGTGCTTGGAAATATCCTGCTGAGCAGCTATAATTAAAGTTGAAATCAGTTCCTTATAATGGAGGGAGAAACTGGGACTATTAAATATGGAAAGCACCAACAAGGTACCACATTCCTAGACTATTTGATTCAACATTTTTGATAGAAAATCAAGTCTCATTTTCCAAATTCTTGATGTGTAAGGAGAGCCAGGGAGGCATAGTGGTTCAAGCGTTGAATTATGACTTTGGAGACCAGGGTTCGATTCCTTGCTTGGCCATGAATCCCACTGGGTGACGCTGGGCAAGTCACATGCTCTCAGCCTCAGGGGAAGGCAATGGAAAGCCTCCTCTGAACAAATCTTGCCAAGAAAACCCCAGGATAGGTTTACCTTAGGATCGCCATAAGTTGGAAATGATTTGAAGACACACAACAACAGCAGCAGTAAGGGTACTTCAGCCTCATAAGGAACACTGTACCCTATTTACCATGTCCTTTCCCATAGAATAAGGATCTTCTTTTTCAAAAAATTAATTGGGAAACCCTTTACAAGACCTCCCGAGGTTGTCCTCGGAGCAGCCGGCCCTCCGCATGGTCGGCGCTCCGAGGAGGACCTCCCGCCGCAGCGTTCGCAAACGCTGTGGCGGAAAAGTCACCGAAAGTGCACAGCAGCCTTTTGCGGCACACCTTCGGTGACTTGTGAAAGGAGCACTGATTTAGTGCTCCTTTCAGGGGCGGCGAAGGTGCGCCACAGGATCGAGGCATGGGGATGCCTCGGTCCCACGGTGCAGCTTCCCAGGGCGGCCCACGGTCGCCCGTCTGCTTAGCCCCTAAGATACAAATGATGACTAAGAACTTAACGAGGGAAGAAGAACAAATAGAATACTGTGCAAATTATAAAATTAGTAATAAAATTAAATATTTGGGATGGTTAACAAAGAAAAATATTGATCTCTTTAACAACAACTATAAACCCTTATGGAAGGAAATAAAAAAAGATTTATTAAAATTAGAAAAATTAAAATTGTCGTTACTAGGGAAAAAAGAAGCAATAAAAATCATCATTTTGCCCAAAATTAATTTTTTATTTCAAAATATACCCATTGTGACAGATTGAAAGATTATAGCAGAATGGGGAAAGCACTTGAGGAAATTCATTTGGAGCATTAAAAAACCAAGGATTAATTGGAAAACAATGGTCAGAAAGAAGGAGGATGGAGGAGGGGGTATACTGGATTTAAAACTTACCAAGCAAATGCCTTAAACTGGTTCACTGAATGGATCACATTAATTAATCCCAAATTACTGAACCTAGAGGGGTTCAATAATTGATTTGGGTGGTATGCATATCTATGGTACGACAAAGCATCGGTTCATAAGGAATTCAGCCATCATATAATAAAAAAGCACTATTTAAAATATGGGAGAAATTTAAAAGGAAAGTTAACAGGAAAATACCCATGTGAATATCACCTCAAGAAGCCTTTTTTGGGAGATGGAGAGAAATTAAAAAACGGTTAACATACAAAGATATATTAAAGAAAACATCATAGAATAAATACAAAATGAAGACAATAGAAGAATTAAAAGAAAAAGACCCACGAATGCATTGGTTCCCTTACTTACAACTTAACGAGCGATTCAAAACCGATTTAAAGAATGAAGAATTTGGGGGAAATGACTTAGAAATGGATAAAATATTAATGGAACCAAAGAGAAGAACATCAAAACCGCCTGAGAAGGTTAGGTATCGGAGGCACTGCTTTGCAGTGGTTCC